GACTCTCAAAAAAAAAAAAAAAAAAAAAAAAAAAGCCTTTGTCCGTGATTGCAGTTGGATACGCTTTTTGGAGCACTCGTGCGAGTTTGCCCTCAGAGAGGGCACTTCAGCAGAATGTAGAACACGGGGAGCACGACTGTCGGACTCTCAAAAAAAGAACCAAAAAAAAAAACGCCAACAACGCTTTGGCCGTGAAAGTGGTTGGATGCATTTGAACGTCGCTAGTGTGAGTATGCCCTCAGCGAGGGCGTTTTGAGCAAGAGGAATATGCGCTGCCTTGCTGGCAGGGCCAGGAAGAAAAAACAAAACGAGAAAAAAAGGAAAAACAGCAACGTTTCCTTCTCCCCGTAATAGTGGTCAGATGCATTCAGGAAAGTGATCATTTGCGTATGGCCTCCATGACGTCCTTTCACGACATCATTGCTCTCGGGCATGTTTGTTCCTTTCTTTTCTTCTCTTTTTTTTTCCGGTTCAGGCAGACCAGCGGCACCAGTGCCACTTCCGAAATTCCCACTGCGGGTACCCTCACGCAGAAGGCTCAGAAAATAGTGGCGCGCAGTGGGCAGGTAGGTTCGGGATTTTAGGTGCGGGTGTACTGGTGGTTTATAACAAAAAGCGGTCTGCGCGTGACACTCCCACTGGGCCCAGCAAAAATCGGGCAGGGAGTTCCACGTGGGGTGCTGCAGGGGAGCGAGGAGGGTGCGTCGGTTTGGGGGGCCCGTACCCGCGATGGGCATCGTGGCGGCGGGGGGGGGTGTCGGTTGGTGGGGAAAAATAGTGGGCCATATTTGCATGTCAGTTCGTGGGGCCCGTGTTGCCGACGACCGTCGTAGTGGCCTGCGGGCCTGCCGGTTGGTGTGGGAAATGCGTGGGGGCGTGGGCCGTATTTGCGACCAGGGTGGTAGGCGTGGGTCGTCATGTGGGGGGGAAATTCACGGGGGCGGAGGGTGTGTTTGTCACTGTGCGACGCGGTGTGGGTTGGCGCGGGTCGTTGTCTTCGGCGTATGCTTGCATGGAACCGAGCAGGCTGCGGTGTGCGCGAGGTTGTATGCGTGCATGGGAGCGGCCAGCGGCGCGCACGAGCTTGGGCGTGGTGTGAAGCGAGCAGGCTGTGGTGTGCACGAGGTTGTCTTCAATGCCCGGGGAAGGAGCGGGAGGAGGAGCGGGAGGAAGGGGGGAAGAGGAGGAGGAGCAGCGGGAGGAGGAGGAAGAGCGGTGTGAAAGGGAGGACGCGCGCGCGCGAGAGCGAGAGCGAGCGAGAGAGAGAGAGAGAGAGAGAGAGAGAGAGAGAGAGAGAGAGAGAGAGAGAGAGAGAGAGAGAGAGAGAGAGAGTTTTCCGTCGATAGGATGAACAACGCACCGGCCAACAGGTAAGTCGCCAACCCTGTGACTGGCATCACGCTACTTCCATCGATAGCATGAGCAAAATCGAATGAATCTTCCGCAAGAACTTCGAAGTATACACTACTACTGACAGTGTATATTTCCATGTTCTAGCAGCAGATTCGTTCGATTTTGCTCATCTTATCGATGGAAGTACCCTCTCTCTCTCTCTCTCTCACACACACACACACACACACACACACACACACACACACACACACACACACACACAC